TGATTATTTGACGCCTAAATGCACTGAGTACTTCTATATCTTGATTTAGGTTGCAAATGGGTGAAAACGATGGAAAATGACCAAAATGGAAGAAAGTAAAAGCCCAGGGACTAAAGAGCAAATATTCTAAACTTGTTTCTAACCTTGTAATGAAGATTCTAGAGTGTTGAGGTCAATTGGATGAAGGAATGAGTCAAAGGGATGAAACATAGCCAATACATTATCACATATCAATTTTCAAACTGAAAAGTTTTGCACCGATTTTCAGCCTCATATTGAGACCAGTTTTTGACATTGAAAATGATTGAATTCGAAGATGGTATCTGAAGCAAAGTTGTATCCCTTTGAATTAGCATTCCAATGCATTTTGATCAGCTCAATCAGATACTTGTGGAGAAAGTTATGATTAAAATACCGAACGCTGTTTAGAGACAAACTTGCGCGCACGCAGGCAAGCAAATTCTCTCACGCTTGCACGAGCATGAATTTTACTTACCGAACTTAAAACCAATGAATGGCGCGCGCACAAGGAAATATACGGCGCGCGCTCGCACGTGCATTTTTCACAGAAGAATCTTCACTTTCCTAATTTACGTCAAACTCTTATGGAAACAACCCCTTTCTCGACTTTTTAACCCCAAATACACTGAGAAACGCCCACCATTGATCTCATATCAGTTGCATCTCAATTTCTTAAAACATTTCAAATTCTTTTAACTCTTGAAATTTATGTGATTATGCATGTCTTAATGTAGAGATTAGCAGTCGGATTAATGATGGTTAATAACATAACTCTTCGTTGTTAATTCTCCATTACAGTCTATTTATTCAGCAATCTTCCTCCATTGCATACACACGAAGAAAATTATTTTTCTACATATATATATATGATAAATGCATTTCTTTCACTTATTTGGATTGTCAAAATATGGATAGTTGTGATTATTTGGATTGAATTGTGGCTAAAATTGTGGTTTACTTTATGTTTTAGATTCACATCGACGAATACAACGAAAGTGGAGAAAATGATGCAAAAAGGGAGCTAATTGATGCAAAAGAGGAGATGAGGACTAAAATGTAAATAATCAAAAGATAGCTCAGAATGAGAAACTAAAGTCGAGAGTGCAAAGAGTCATTTGAACATGAAGAGAAGAGCAAGGACCGGATGAAGTGGAGAAAAAAGGTGCCAAAACGGGAGTTTGTGGAAAGTTAGGGGCCAAATTGCAATTGGCCCCAAAAATTGCCCTGAGGCGCGAGCTCTCGCCTGCAGGTGAGGCGCACGCCTCAAGCCAACCCTAGATAAACGTTTTTCTTACCTTATCTTGTTTTAGTAATTTTTTAGGGTTGGTATGAAAAGAAAATTGGCGTGATTTGTGAGGAGGAGACACATTTTAGAGAACAAAGAGAGAAAAATACATTGAGAATGGGGACTTTACCATTTTGGATCCGATTTCGAAGCCGTGAAGAGTCAAAGTGAAGATTTCCAGATTTTCTTCATATTTACATGATTCGGGCGATGACTTCCTTTTATTTTCTGTGTAATTTCCGTATTAATATGTTAGGCTAAGTTTAGTTTTATTGGATGGATGATTAAACTATTTGATTTCTAATTTTAATTCAAGACTTGTGATTTTTAGTTATTTATTGCGTTGTGATTTTATATACCTGCTTGTTCATATTTTTTATTGCTTGC